AGCGGCTCGTGCCGGGGAAGGAGCCCGGCATGGGATGTGCAGGGGGTGGAGAGGCAGCGCAGGCAGCACAGGGACCCCAGCGCCCACCGCCGCCCGGATCCCCTGGTGAGGTGGCCTGGCGGTAGGTAGGTTTTGGGGAGGGGGTGATTTTTCACAGGGCAGACCCATGCCTCTAGCACACCAGTGAAGCACAGCACAGCACATCCCAATCCCTGGCCATGCTGGCCTCTAGGGAAGGAAGCCCACGTCTCTCCGCATTCGTGCACTTTATTAGCATTGCGCTCGGGCTCTCTGCCGGCTTTTTCCAATCTGGCACGGTCCTCCTGCACATCCCGTTGCCCACAGGAGGGCAGAGACGGCTGCTTGGCCGTAGTCACTCCAAGCCTTCTCAAGGAGAGCAAGTTGAGTGCTGGGGACGTCTGCAGCCGGGGTGGTTTCCTCAGAGAAATGGGGAAGATCTTAGTTCTGGAGAGCTGGGACCCGTCCTTCCTCCCTGCGGCCGTTCTGCTGTTCACCCCTTGCACTTCCTGATATTTACTGATGTGGGGTTTCTAGTCTGCTTTAAAACGTGCAAAGCCAAGCCCCTTGCTGTTGGTCCCACAAGCTGCAGGGAGCTCAGTCCCCCACCGTAGCTGTTGCAGAAGGAAGGAAGTAAACCCCAAACTTCTTCATGATTCTGCTGACCTAAAGGCTCCTAACCAGTACAGAAGGGCTGTAGTGATAGAGGATTCACTAGTATCACCTTGAATGCATAGTGGTGAAGTGTCAAATAAGGGAAATATTTGCTGTTTTGACTGTTTCCTACCTAGCCTGGCTACAACTTTAGCAAACCTTTTTGCTGCTATCTTTTGGTAACAGAATCAAGCTGTTTTCTCTCTATTTTCTGTTCCCTGTGTTGAGCATGCAGTGCAAACATCTGTTGAAATCAGAGCCATATACCTGATAGATATTTTATTAGTTACATTATGTATAGAGAGACTTTATTATACACTTAGGCAGCAAAGATGATGGCAGCCTGCCCCGGCACGCAGCACTTCTGGGACGGGTGCTCACGCTCCCGGTCGACGCGGCGGTGGGGCTGTTAGCGGTGCAGAGAGGGAGCCGGCGGCTGAGGCCGTTCGGAGGGGTGGATCTGCGGCTTTCTGCCCAATAGTCAGCTCCTTGCACAGCTGCCAGAAAAGAAAAAACTTTTCCCTTTTTCCTCCCTGCACATCCCTCCAATACACTGGTAGAAAAACCTCTATGAGATGATCTGTGAAGGCTGTTTCTGTCCAGGGAGTTAATGTGCCAACCGCAGCCCACTGGAGCATGACTCCCTTCGCTCCATTTCACCAGCATTTGGGACTTCTAGAATAGCATCGTTTTCTTCTTCTCTTATTCTCACACGTGTCCCACTCCAGAACAGCCTTCCTGGCCTTACGGTGAATGACCCGCTCTTGGCTGCTGTTAGCCAGGGCTTTTGCAGGTGATGGTGACCGTAGCGAGCAGCGACCTCCAGAAGGTGCTGATCACGGGGTGTGCTGCCCCTCTGGACCTTCGGAGGGGCTCTGCAGTTAAATTAAAAACCCTGAGACCCATCTTTCTCTTGGGGATTTGGGTTTGTCCATTTGCGTCTTGTTCAGAAATTGGAAGGGAGAGCAGAGTTGCACAAGCTCTTGGGGCTCATAAAAAGTTAATGTGGGGTGGTTTCCAGTTTGTGAAGTTTTGATTTCACTGCTCTCAGCAGCTACCCAGAACTGTAACTTGCATATTATGAAGTAAATCCTCCAGTCTTCCCTCTGCTGCAAGAGGAGCAGTGTGAGAGGCAAGGCTGCCTGTGGAGAGCTGCTCCCACGGCAATAATCTGCTCTGGCAGCATCTTCCCACTTCTCCCTGCTGCCTGGTGTCTCGTGGTTGCACTTTCACTGCCTCTGTCGTCCGAATGCTGCTCTGTTTCTGTGCCTGTCAGCATGCACTTACAATCTGGGCAAAGAAGATTCCTAAGGAATGATTTATTAACTATAATATGGTTATAGTTACATATATATAAATATATATATAATGTTTATAGTTATATATAATAGAAGGCCTGTGTTTGTAACTTTAAATGGGCAAGACTGTTGCCTCTCGTGTGCTGCTTTCTGGCACGCAGAGCCGGGAGCAGAGCTGCGGCGAAGCCTGGCTCGGTTCCTGGAGCTCCTTCTCTGCGAGGCTACAAAGGCATGGCTCCATCTTTTGCTAATCAACAGCATTTGAAGAGGAGTGTGAAAGTCCCTGCTGTTCCCAGGTCAGGGAGCCAATTGCAGTCCTGCTGCAGAGTAATTTCCTCAAGTGTCTTGGGAACACAACGGTATTCACATGCTTCCCCCGTGTTCAAGCCAAGAAGTGTTATCAGTGCAGGAAAACTTTGCAAATAGCCAGGCATTGAGAGCCGAGCATGGTTGTGTTCGTCTTCTCTTTCTGTCTCTCGCAGCAGAATTTCAATATCCGTTCCTAACAGTGGAGGGTGCCTGCCTGTAAAACCGTTAGCGTTGCTGTTTGCAAGTGTGTGTTTGCCCATAGATCTCTTGTCTACAATGAAGTGCCAATGAGTAACCATCCTCCCTGCAAATCCGCTTCCACCCTGTCCTTCCGGAGCGCCCTCCCTCATCGAGGTGGGAGGACTTCATCTTTGCATTGACTACTACCAGGATTGCTTTGTACAATGTATGTAACTGCCATCGACATAAATTTTATATGTACGATAATTTCCCTTTTATATGTCAGGTAAATATTTGTAAGAGTTATACTCACACAAATGAGATTATTATAATGATTACTAATATATTTTTTCCATGTTTCATTGCCTGAATAAAAATTGTGTTTACCACTCTTGAAAGCTTCTTGGTATTTGTTAGAAGACTGGTGATGGATTTTTTTAGAGAAGTCGGTTTTGTCTTCTAGGAAGGACCTCATTCTGCCTCATTCTTATTAATAGGGTTGGTCATTCTTTTGATTTTGAAGAAGCATGATTAGCATCCATTCCTGAAATCTGCTTTTATGAACTCTGGAAGTCAGACCCGACACAAGTCTGAATGCCCTGATAATTTCTAGCATGCTTAAATGCTGTGCTTGGCAGATTTCCCTAAGCTGTGATGCAGCCGCCGGCGTGCCCCGTGCTCGGGGGAACAGCTTTCCGCGGGGAAGACGAGTGGAGAGCAGTGGCGGTACTCTGGGAAGCAGGCGCTGCTTTCAGCCCTGGCCTGACCCTGGTGCCTTTCGGGGCCTTGGGTAAACGTTCCTCAGCTTAGCTTCTCCCTCTGTGGCGACAGAGACCTTCCCCTGCCCGGCTGAGGGGCGCCAGAGCGAATAGGTGAGTATCGGGGTTGGCGCGTGGTGCTCCCAGCCCCATGCATGCTTCCAGCCGGCCTCTTGCACTGGTTTGGGTGGGATGGATGCTTTGGAGGACTTTGCCCCAACTAAACTGCTGCAAACAGAAAGAAAGGGGTTTTTCTCTGCACAGAGCATATGGGCTTTATCAGGACCGCTGAGAGCTGCTGCAAGGGAACTTGTCCGGCGCCGGCTCCCGGCGCAGGAACCAGCAGGCGCGGAGCAGGGCTGCGCTCACGGCAGGCGGGGGGACGGGGCGGG